AACATATTACTTAAAAACAGTATCAGCTTTACCTTTCGGACAACAGAATCTTTATCAGAATTGCATTTTTTTACACCAATTGATGATTTTCCAGTTAGAGAATTTTCCAGTTGTCTAAAAGGAGTTGGAAGATAGTTACATTGAGTAAAAAATTTTCTCCATTCAGTGATATAAGCTTTAAGTAGAGCTTGGTCTTCTTGATGGGCCATAACTCTCTAATAAAAGAATACAAAATATAATTAAAAACAAAATTTACATTAGGTAGTATTAAAATGTCCGGCATAAATTCACTTTAGTTACCCAGCATTTTTTTTATTTAATTTTTTTTTTTTTTGAAACATAAGTGTTCAACAAGTTAAGAACGACAGAACAAAAATATTTAGGAATTCATTATTTTGGAAGTTATATCTTTCCAAATTTTGTGAATTTACTTCTATACGCACAGGCAGAACACTGTACTTTACTACCACAATCAGTGCCTATAACGTTTTTCAATTTTAATTTTTTACATTTTTCAAATAGTTGAATGATGGCGGAATCAGCGAAATATTTATTTTTTACTGGATACCTTTTTTTTGTTTGCTTAATACTATCTAGTTAAGCATGCTGAAAACAATGGGAAAATCAGAATTTGGCGGTCAAACTTAATTTTGAAGTTTTAGCCATATAACAAGCTGAGGGACGTTTTCAAATTTAATTGTCCAAATGAGCAAAGTGAGCGAGTGACCATACCAGGTCTGTAATATGTGCTTTTAATAATTTTGTTTTAAATTTGAGACCAACCCAAGGTAGTTTACTTAATAAGTCGAGGGATGTTTTTCCGGGAGTATATGAAAATACTATTAATTTAAATTTAGTAGATAAGTAAATTTAGCTATTATTTTAAAACTAAGTCCGACTGCCAAATTCTGACTTCAACATCATTTTTACATGCTTAACTATATTTGTTAAGACAGGAGAGTACTGATTAGTGATTACGGATGTCGGGATGTGTTAATATTTTGATTATGCCAGAAATATTTTTTTTTTTAAATATCCTAATTTAATGTGTTGTAGAAATAAGATTTGTTAATGTCCTTAGCATAGTCAATTTATGTGTCACATAAGACATGTTAATTATGTATTACACACATACGGTGACTATGCATACGGACATGACACTTGCTGATTGTGATTTTACCATTCTTAACCCATTAAAATACGTAAAAAAAAAAATAAAAATTCATTATAGGCTTACTTGTAAAGTATTGTGTGTGCGCAAGTATATAAATGTAAATTGCAAACTTTGGAAGGATATAACTTCCAAAATAATGATTTCCGAAATATTTTTTTGACACCATTGTTTTTAACTTGTAGAAATATATGTATATAAAAAAAATTTTTTTTTAAATGCTGGGTAGGTGAAAAGGTTCCAATCGTCTAAGATAAAAGTAGTTGTATAATATTTTTACCTTGAGCTATTATTTTTCATTTACCAAAATAAAGTAGATAAATAATTAACTTGAATAATTTTAATTAACAAAAAAGGAATTCAAATTATGGTTTAAAATCTAGATAGTTTAAAAACATTTTACTTGTTGAGCTTTTTTTATGAATTCCATGATGTCAGTTTTTAGGAATTGTCTCATTTTTATTGGTCCTTGTTCATCCCATAGACATACAAGGTGAACTGCATAAAATAAATCTTGCCATTCATTTTGAGTTACTGGTTCTTGTTGTAAAAGTTGAATTACAATGGGTCTCATTTCTGGCCATTTTTCTTCAAACCGAACTACTGTCTTATCACTCTGAAATAATCAGTAATTTAATTTTATAATTATTGAATTACCTTAAGTTTAATATTATATTCAAGTTACACAAGACTTGTTTAGGAACACAGTATGCAAAGTATTAATGATATTTTCCACATTCTAAATAGGTAAGTTATTAGATCATATTATAAATACAATTGTAATTCAACATTATCATCAAATAAGTGAGTTTGGTATTTCGTAATGAAACCATAGTGGATCATGGGATCGCAGTATTAACACAGTTTTTCCAAACGAGTGGTATAAATTATGATAGCATACCAAAAATTAATAATAAACAACATAGCTTTCATAGCTTACCTTTATTTGTGACATGTTTTGAATGGCAAAAAATTCAAAATCTCTTAATTTAATTTTGTTTCTATGTCGAGCAATGTACACAACGATCTATACCGATTTAATTAATAATAAATGTTTTAGTGAATATGATAATTGTTGAACGGAAACCAGATTCGTGAGTTCAAAAGAATCGTTTTACACCGCGTAAATCCATTTCGGTCGCTGAATTTTATCAAACGAAACGTACCTAATTATACAATACTGAATTCACTCGTATACAGCATGTAACTGGGAAATGCCGAAATGGACCGCAAGTCAGACGTTACCAAGCATTGCATATATTATACGAGAATACGAGATATAGAAAGTCGAAATTATGATTTCGGGCTACACTGCCTACACTAGCGCTTCGAAGTTTAGATCCCAAACAAATGGATAGTAGCACGGAAAAAAATGTTTCACTGTCCATGACGTCATTTATCATTGTTATCATATTCATTGATAATAGAACATTCCTTATTCGTATATTATTATCTATGTACGTGAACATATGATACGCAAAATGCAAATATTCAATATAAATTCCAGACGATCGTAGGACAAATATACAGTTTATAAAATTTAAAACGCTGTGTAAACTATTTCACTGTCTATTTTTATTTGTAAATAATTATATACGTCATGGTTTCAAGTATTTTGAATTACAGCAAATATGCATGTAATAGGTTGTTTAAAATCAGTTATTTTTTGTTTCAATATCCATATACTTCTGATTTTAAATAATTTACACATTTTTGTGATTTTAACTATACATTATTCCCATGTATTTTTGATAATTATTTTATTAATGGCAATGGTAATATAAGAATAACTTATGAGGAACCTTATATTTTTATCCACAAACAAAAATATATACCTAAATAAATTGAAAAAAATTAAATAGCTGTATAAGTTGCACAAAAAGTTTCAAAATATTTTTAAGTTTTCCATGTCTAGAAAATAGTAAAATACTAATATAGTAATATCAATAATATTCGGTGAAAATGTCAAGTACCTACCTGATGCCCGTATGCCCGTATACCCGTCATTTTATGTGTCACATAAGACATAGTACATTATGTTATTCACTATTCATTTTTGTGTTAGGTAGGTATAATGTTATAAAAAAAAACCAAAATCGATTATGTAAAAATGTTTTTTTTTTTTTTGTTATTCATGTTTTCATGAAAACGTTTTGTAAATATGTTTCATTTAAAGTAACAACCACAAATAGTACGTATATAAATACGTATTTGAAAAAGAGTTATTAAAATAATTTGAGAACTATCATTGAACTATCATGACTTGTACATTGAACCACAGAATTGTATTATGCATAGAATATAGAAAATGCTAATATAAACATAATATGATGAAAATGTCAAGTGTCCACATTCTACTGTTATTCGGTTTTAAATTTCAACAAAATAAGAAAATGTTATAGATAACTCGTTTTGAGTAAAATTCATAATTCCTGTTTTAAACAGATTTATTTTCCTTTTCCTCAATAAAAATTTAAAAGTACTGGTAATTTTTGATTTTGACCTCAAAATGGCCCAAAGTACCATGGATCATCGTAAAAACAAAAATCTCCTTCCTACCAGATAATATATTTAATATTAAAATAATATTATCAAACTAGGTATAGACATCAAAATATTTTTTCTACTTTTAGATCGTGTACACATCCAAAGAAACACTCTTTATTGTAAAATTAATTCCTTCACATAATATCTTTGCTACGCAACACCATAGTCGACTAGACCACTCCGAAAGTCAGAATCAAAAAATTGTTTTGATTATTATTTATTTATGATATTTATGATCGGTCAAAAAGTTTGAAAATTTAACACAAATTTCAAGGTAAATAGTCAGTCAAAAATAATAAATTTATTATACCACGGTATAGTTATAATAATATGTGACTGATCAATCCACCTTGGTACGTACACCTTGGTACATATCACATCATACCATATCATATTTGTGCAAGTGCGTTTGGTCTTGGTATGTGGTATATTGTTGGTCAAGAACCGTCGCAAAGTTTATCTTACCCTTTTCTAAAATCTATTGAATTTCGACATTCAGCATTACAGCGTATAAAAGTAAAAAATCCTTCTACCTACATGTAATCTGTTCAGACTATTCTGTGCTACTACCTAGATTTTTACGTTTCACATTATACACTAGATTACCTATTCAGTAATAGGGATCTTTTTAAATTATAAATTAAAAAATTAAAAATTAATTAATCAGATAAATATTTATTAATATCTAAAAACATTTATTTTTATACATAATCATAAATAATAATAATATACAATATGAAACTAGTCAAATCTAATCTGTAACATTTTGATGATAACCGAGAATATTGCCGATCGTTTCCGAAATAAAACACCAAATCCCCGAGTTCCTGAACGTCGTACCTACAATAATAATAGCGTAATCCTACTTTAATACGCTTCTGCAACTTATATTAGATAACAGTAAATTTGTCTCGTAAGTATTAGTTAACATTTTTATACAGTGTTAAATTAGTTAATTAGGTAGTTATTTATAATATTGACAAAACAATCGTATGGAAACTGAACGTCGCGGAAATAACGCGTAATTATAATATTTTAAATGGTAGGCAACAATAATGTAATGTGAAAATTTGAAATATTTCACTTGCAAATCATGGCAAGTATTGACATTTTATGTCTTATTTATAAATTGCTCCATCAAAATTGTATAAAACTGTTCCTGTCAATATGATAATAATTTGTCTACTATCCCAATCTCCTACATTTTCATAAGGTTTAATATATTTTATTTATAATGAACCTTACTTTTTTAGATATAAAAATTAAGTTAAGAATTATCTAAATGATGGCAAGGAAACGACGTAGTACAACAGAAATAAATACAGCTGAAAATGCTTCGGTTCCAAAACGTCGTTATACTAGGTTAGTTGAAATAAATTGATATACCACTTGATTGTATATTTTAAAAATGTATATGTTTTAATTTTCAGTGCACAAAGAAATCATCTTGAAGAAATGATGGTTTTTAATCATAAAAAATGTCTTTCCTGGTATCATAAATATACAAACGATGTCGGCGAACTAGGTATTTATAAAATAAAAGTACAATGCATTTTTGTAACTTTGTTATTATCCATATACTTAAATTATTTTAAGGTCCCGAAGGCATGGAAAAATTTTGTATGGATATTGGGGTTGACCCAGAAGATTTAGTAATGCTTGTTTTGGCTTGGAAAATGAGTGCTAAATCAATGGGCTATTTCTCAAGTGCTGAATGGTTAAAGGGTCTTACAGAATTACAGTAAATATTTTGATTTATTAATTTGAAATTGATATAATACCTATGTGATTAATAATTAATAAGATACATTTTGATCGCAGGTGTGATTCAGTTAAAAAACTTCAAAGTAAATTGGAATCTTTGAGGTTGTATTTTAATGATCCATTAACATTCAAAAGTATATATAGATATGCATATGATTTTGCAAGAGTAAGTTTTACTTTTAGTATCATAAAATGATAATATTTGTTATAGTATTATTTCATCATTCATAGATGTGACATTTATATGATTATTGTGATGACAAGAAAACAAAATTATACCTACTGTTTTTAATATAAAGGAAATATAAGTTTTTTTATTTTTAAGGATAAAGATCAACGAAGTATGGACATAGAAACTGCAAAATTAATGCTAAATTTATTACTTGGAAAACAATGGAAACTTTACACTTTATTTGCTAAATTTATAGATCAATCCAAGTATAGAGTTATTAATAAAGACCAATGGTGCAATATATTAGAATTTTCACGATCTATCACTACAGATTTGGCAAATTATGACATAGACGGAGCATGTAAGTTTTATAAAATATTTTTACTTAAGTATAATAGTACAATAAGTACACATGTATTCAATTTTTAAAAATTTAGTTTTATATCATTAGGTTCTATACAAATTTATTCAATTTCAATGCCTTGTAATTTCTTACGATCTATGTTTATTGTACCTTTATTTTTCAATCCATTTAATAAATCCGTTAGTTGGAACTAGGTATACCAATTTAATATTTATTAAGAAAATTTAAAATAATAATGCAAAGTAAATGTCTGGTTGGTAAAACAAACAAATATTTTGTTTTTTTTTTTGAGCAAATTAATTCAAACTATACTCTATATAGTATAAAAATGCCTGAATTTGAGCTTAAATACTGATTATTGAGCCACTTGCTGTGTCATTTATCTTTATTCTTTTTTAATAGAATAAACAAATACTAGATAGTATATATTATAGTATATTACTTACTAACCTCACCTAAGATAACTACTGGTGGCTCAGTTATCAGTATCCATCCACAAATTTGAGCATTCTTATCTTGAATAGATTATAATAGATTTTATACAATTACATTTTTATTATTTAACATTCAATGAGTTTGTTACTACAGTTGAATATTAAATACAATTTAGTATGACTCAATAATTTTTTCTCCTGTGTTTAATAAATTTTTGCACCATTTAAAAAACTCGGTCTATATTATAAATTACATATATTTATTATTTTGTAATATTGGCTTACTCTACTATTTTAAAATGTATATTTTTATTTATAGGGCCTGTTATGTTAGACGAGTTTGTGGACTGGATAAAAAATAGTAACAGCTGAAATTATGAAGAGGATTATTCTCTACCAGGATTAGTTACTGGAACAATATAAGTTAAATACCATTTAATAAAACTGGATCGATCTCTCGTATGCTTTTCCAATTTCCATATAAATACATTTTTAATTTCAATTAATATTTCAAAAATTCAGTACATAATACAAATCACTTTTTTGCAAGTCTTCTATTAAAAATATTTTTTATATATATTTATATAGTTACATATTATTAATATGAATAATTATAATAAAATCATTCACACAGATATTTTTTGTATTTATTTATATTTATTCAAATATGTATTGTAATAGTTAGGTATGAAGAATAATGTCAGATATCATGATGTCTTGTTTTATAAAAAGTACTTATGATAAATAATATAAAAATATACATTTGATATGAGGGTGGGATAATGAATATCTTACATTAACTTACATAGTTAAACCTGTTACATATTTGACACTGAACTTTTTTATTCAATTATAAATAAATTTATATCAGAGGAATAATTGAAAAGTAAAATTATGAAGGTTAGGTAAAAATTATATTTTTCAAATAATTTAATTTAAAACCGTAGCAAAAAATAAACATTTAAATCAAAAGTATTTGTTAATAATATTTTATTAGTTATTGAACTGATAACTGTTGTTAAATAATAATAATAATAATGTGTTACACATGTGACATATTCTATACTCTGTCCAGCAAGAAAACATGCAGTGGCCTGAAAAAAATCAGCATCCACAGAACATCCTGCCTACCACAGTGGAACTGGTGTCAAGTGGGGATGCACAGAGTCGGTATGTTCTCTCGCTGAACAGAGTAATATAATCAACAAAATGTATATGGTTGTGTTGTTTATCTATTAAATAGAATATAAGAGTTACATATTAATGAACATTTCTAGTGTACATGTATACTTTTAAATAGAATAGCAAGAATACATATTTTTGACAATAAAATAAAGTAATATATGCTTGAATTATTGTCTTAAAAAAACAGTGTATGTGTTGTGAATTGATTTTATTCAAGTGATCTTGGAGTGATATTAAAACACTGAATAGAGGGTAAATGAACCTAATAGACAATAACCTATGTCCAATCTCTATGAGCTTAAACTTCCAAGTTTGGGGTTATGTATCATTTTTATCTATTTATATCTACGACCAATCAAAAATCGATAAATATATAACTAGTACAAGGTAAATGTAATAAAATAAATAAAAAAGTATTTTATTTTAATTGGTATTGAAGTTATTGTTCTGGTCTTCTTTTATTAGATCATGCGCGTTTTCAACTGTGAAATTCTTTTTTGTATATCATGCAACTGCCAACAGAAAATATATTCAATAGAAATTAGTATAATATGACCACAAAGATGTATAACATACAATACATGGTATACAGTGTGTTAATCGATTAAAGGAACACAAAATATTTCAAATGTATGACCGGATGACCCTGAATTTTATTTACTTTTTTTACTGCATAACTGCATAAGAGACCTAATATTACACTTATTTTTAAAACAACTTTAAAAGTTTTTTTATATGATCAAAACAATAATGAAATCCAGGGTTATGTATTTTAAATATTTTGTTACCTTTATTACACACTGTATAATATTATAGAATAGTATATTGTCAAACCTTTTGAATTTCCCAATCAATATTTGATATTTTTGGATCATTCTTTTTATCACTGTTTGTATTTTCTACATTGTTTGATGTTAAGCTTATAAGCATTTTGTAAATATCTGACATTTCCAAGTCAAAGTCAAACCTTCAAAAGTTGTAATAAATAACCATCAAAAAATCAAATAAATTAAATTACAATTATTAAATAACTGATCCATCATACATTTATAAATCCCATAATATTTTTTTTATAAAAATAAATAATAGTATAATACATTTTTACGTTTATAATATGGTCAAGTGGATAACAAACTAATATGTATTCTAAGCTCTAAATGAGGTTAAAATACAAAAAAAAATAAACATTGTACTTACGGTTTAACTACTGTACGTTTTACAACATTCTTATAATTAATATTTTCCATACATTCCTAAAAACAAATTTATCATTATAAATAAAATACATTATTGAAAAAATAATTATAATTGTGATTTTAAAATTGTACAGTTAGTTAGGTACCTATTCATAGCACCATTTGAATCTACATTTTTGCAAAATAAGCTAATCTATCTATTGTACTGATTATTTGGCATTAATTGTTACACATCTTGCCGGTACCTTTATAACTTAACCAGTAACCAACATTACTAAAATAATTTATTGTAACTTAAAATTCTAACAAATAAATTAGTTAAATATTTAAATAGAGATGAAACTATATTTATAAAAAACAAATGACTTTCTTTGATTGAAAATGTTAGGTAAACATTAACTTAGGATAATTGTTTTTTACATTATGATTCATAGTTAAAATTAAATTTAAACATTTGATACAATACCTATAGGCTATAGCCACTATTGCTGCTATTAAAATTGAAGGTGGTATACCAGTAAATTCTACTTATTAATTTATATCGACTAATTTCCCTCCTACTGTCCATGGCTAATAAATATATTAATTTTTAACGAAATTTTAAATTGGGGAAAGAATAGACGTAAATGTTCTACAAGTTTACAAAGTTTATTTAATAAACCTATTTCTAGTTTTATTTACAACCCTTTTTATGACCATGCAGCATGCTAAGAATGCTACAATTATTTTAAAGACTCCAGTGGCCAGTGCCCAGTATCTATGTCATACAATGTAATAGGAATATTTAGAACATAATCATTAAATGTTTTGTTTTTTTTTTGTAAGGCGCTTTTTTCCTAGTCCTAGATACCATACAATAGACATTTCCAGGTAGTATTTCCCAAAGTCTCAGGGAGCCAATCCATCCCTGCAATTTAAAATGTACCTACATTTCATTTATTGACTAAATAATTACTTTTTTGTACGTTTGTCTGGATATAATTTTAGAAAATTCTTTATTTACTCCAAATGGTACCTCGAGTCCTCCGTCTAAATTTAAAAAAAATGTATGATATTAGTAAAAACATAATATTTATAATAATAACATAATAATTGGTATATATTATATTATTATATTATACAGTAAAATAGGTATATATATAAATATATCATTATAATACCTATTGCTTATTAGGTTAGATTAAAATATGTATGCTAGGTTGCATAAACAATTAATAAATTTAATGGTTCACTAAAAATGTAATGGACCAATCACTGGCCACTAAATCTTGTTTAAGGGACCATTAGCTCACTATTGAATATTGATTCATTAAATGTTGTGCAATCCGCTATTAATACCTATAGGCTATAGATTATATGACTAAAGTAGGTAAGAACTCACAGTTTTTTAATTTGTGTGAATTTTCAAAATATTGCAATTGTTTTGCTTTATTTCTCCATATTTTCAGCGTTTTTTCATCTCTAAACATTTTAAAATATATTAAATTATAATTTATAACCTAACCAGAAAAATAAAAATACAACAGTAGTGTCCCTAGTGGCTATATCATAGATTACTAGGTATATATTATTAAGGGGACGTTACAGTCACATTTGTTGTCTCCGTCTTACAAGTGCGTAACATACCAAATTTTATGCTCAGCAGAACACGTTTATCTCCCGTAGTCCCGTTAGCTTAAAAATTAGAGCGAATTTACCACTTATAAAATTTAAAGGAAAAATTATTATCTAGACAAGGACATAGGCTTTTTATTATAATTCAATTTTAAAGCGAGTTATGTTTTTTAGTTAGTAATTTTAACATTGTAAACTGTTTGTATATCTTAAAATACTCATACCTCGCTTTAAAATTTAAATATAATAAAAATCCTATGTCATTGTCTAGATAATAATCTTACCTTTAAATTGTATAAGAGGTCAATTCGCTCTAATTTTTTAACTAACGGAGATAAACGTGTTCTGCTGAGCCTACAATTTGCTATGTTACGCACTTGTAAGACGGAGACAACAAATGTCACTGGAACGGCCCCTTAACTAGTGTATGTATCTTGTCTGACTAGTGACCTCACATGACGAATGTCAACATTGTCATGATCATTAACAAAAATTTGGTTAAGTGTGTGCAAGAGGGCTGGAGGGAAAGGGCGCTTGACATTTTTACTTAATAAACATTCTTCAATTTTTAAGTTAGGTCATGCGGAAATGTCATACAAGGGCGGTCCATTAAAATTTCAGGGGGGCTAAAATTATTAACATCAATGTGAGTAGGGGGGCTTCGGTCCTACCAAACTAAAAAAAATGTGGGGGTAAGCCCCCCACAAGCCCCTCCCCACCACCTCCTATATCCGCTAATGACAGGTACTGGTGTAGGTACTGCATACATTTTTCCCAAACATGTTTAAGTATTAACTGGTATATCATTATGTGAATGTAAAGAAAGTATATATCAGATGTGATTCTTAACAACTAAACTCACTTGTAAGATTGTAAAATTCGTTCTTGTTTTTCTAAAATTACTTTTTGTTTTTCTAAATAAAGTCTCTCTAATTCTTTCATCCTAATATCACGATCGGTAACTAGACGATCGGTGCTCCTAAATTGTATTATACATAACAAAAGTTTAGATAGGTAATTCATTAATTTGTTAATTAGTAGGTAAGTAATATTGTAATACACTAAATACTAATATTAATATACTGTTATGTATAAACTGGCTAAGTACCTACCATATACATAATCCATTATAAAAGTATAATAGGTACTTCAGTAAATAATTCATTAATTTGTAAATAATATTTTAATAGGTAGGTAATAGTATGGTGACCAAAGCCTTGTTCTAACAGCAGACTGTATCTTTATATGAATCAATTTACTTGGTCTTTCTGATTTTCTCACCCTCATATCAGGGGTGGCTTCAGGTCAAATGTCAATTATATGGGGGGGGGGGGGATTTTTATCGTGTATAGAAAATGCAGTGAAAATGTCATGTATCTAAGGTCATTTTTTTAGAGTTTAAGTTACCTAATATATATTTTTCTTTAAAAGATGTACTTAATTTCAGAATTGTTAAATTCCCATTTAATGTTTAATGATTTTTCTTAACACAAAATAGTAGTAGGTAAACTATAAACCATTAGGGCATTAGGTATACCTATTATTTACAACTATAATACCACCCAGCATAATACAATAAATTATAGTATTATATTATTATTTTTTTTATTTTTGATCTTCAGCCCGGCATCTATGGCCATTAGCTGTATGGTTTTGTCGGTTTTTATATCGGTAGGGGGGGAACACGTGTGTGTTGGGTTTGGCAGAATTTTCGATTGGGCACCCATATAGGTATCTGCCATGCCCGGGTGGGGGATGGCGGCACTTGTTCTCCGTACACCGTGACTTGCCCGAAGAAAAATGCCGCCCATGACCGAGGATCTAGCAAGCGTCGGACGCAGCCAACGCCCTAGACCGGTCGGTCACTCCGTCCCCCTATTTATTATTATATTATATATTACAGTAAGACAGTGGTTAAAATTGATAAATAAGTATAAATACCAACCAATTAGTAAGAAATATCATTGGCCAACTATATCTTTCCATCAACTGCATTTTTGACGTAGCCATCTAAACAGTTATAATAGGAGAGAACAATAAATATATATTTTATTAGTTTTAGTAATTTGTAGTTACATTTTTTTTTATTTTTTTGTTTTTTTTAAGTATTTTGTCCTCTATTTTTTTTACTACGTTTGATTCATCATTATTTAGTTTCATCGTCTCCATAATATTTTGATCACTTTTCCATTTTTCTTGTAAATAACTTATTAAATATTTAGAACCTTTTTTCACCATATCTCTAGTAAGGCAATCAAGTGGATTTCCAGCAACATGTAATTCTCGAAGTTTCGGTAATGATCCTAATAAGTAATATATAAAATTATATGTAATAAATAATTTAAATTATAATATAACTTAATAATAATTTATAGGTATATATTATATATTACAATAAGCTTACAATCTATCTTGTAAGGATTTTAATGTAGTGTAAAATGGTATTTAGTGATCAATGATGTAAAATAGAACGTTTCATACAGGCATTTTAAGATGACTAGGTAAAGGTATATTTAATTTATATAATGCAATATGTATATTATTTATTTTATAATAAAAACAAAAATATCAAATATTATATACTTTTAGTCGAGAAACTACATAACTAGACCTCAAAAAGTAGGTACCCACCAACTACCAACAATAACTAAAATTAAATTAAAAAGTGGGTGACGCTCTGCTGTACAGTAGATTACAATGGGTGATGGTCACTGTAATGGATGGTATTAAATTTGAATTCAATGACATCATATATCATTGTATAAGAAACACGATTTTAAGCAGAGACGGTTTCTCATCCTAGGATAATTATATATTTAGGATTATTATATATTTCAATTACCTTATACCTATAGGCTATATTGTTATTATTAATTCGGTAGTCGGTAAGTTGAATTTATATATAAATATATAATAGTTGTTAGATGTTTTATGTTTTACCTTCCTCATGAAAAATAATTCCTGCGCCGCTGTGGTTACCGCATTAATAATAAGTAATAACAATATAAATATAATGTAAAATATCCTAGGCGGATAAAACCTTCGATCAGAATCGTTTTTCGTATGCAATGACAATAATATCATTAAATTAAATTTAACACCATCCATTACAGTGAACCACTTTTAACCTACTGTACAACAGAGCGATCCCCACTTATCGCTTTTAAATTTTAATCTTTTATAATATTAATACATTATAAGCACTGTACGTCTGTACCTATATAGTTAGACATAGGCGCAAATAGAGAGGAGGCTTTAGAGGCTGCCACCCCTAAATATTTCCTGTTTTTTTTTTTTAGTTCATTCAATATTACTATAGTAGAGCTTCAGCCCCCCCCCCCCTTAAATATTAAACTCTATTTGAGCCTATATGTAACTAGGTAGTATATATACTAGGTAGATACATATACGCGGGGGTTAGGCTCGATGCCGTTGATGTTTTTTTTTTATGTCAATAAACTATGGGGGCCGGAGGAGAAGTAATGCTAACGCGGTTCCTCCTCCGTCCCTCGATTAACTCAGAAAAAAAAAAGTAGATACCTACATATAAACAATATAGAATAGCGGTATACTTAAATATATTTATAATATTTTAAACTATTTATACATACCCAGCGTTAAAGGCAATCGCTTTAAATCGTTTTTGCCTAGAAGCAATACCTGTAAATTTTTGTGACCCTGAATACCGTCAGGTAATCGACGAATTCGGTTGCATCGTAAATCTAACCACATAAGATTTGTACAACCAGTAAATAATTCGTCGGGTAATGTCCGGATGAAGTTATTGGCCAAGTACAAATACTACGTGAAATTGAAATTATAAAAAACATAATACCAATTAATTAAAATACAAACAGTACGCACACAGGTAACAGACAATATACATATTATATAGGTATTAGATACTGCACTTACTCTAACGAAACAACCAATCTCTTGAATAAGTGATTCAGATATAGACATAATATTTCTATTTTTTAGAATTACGATTTCCATCGTTTTTATTTATAATATTATTATAATAAAATTGCTAAATCAAAATCGAATTGTAAAGGTACCTACGTATTCATAACAAAATACAAAATACTAAATAGTGATATCAATACATACATTATATTATAGTGTTGTTATGACAACAGTTTGCTGTTTAAAATTAACTAATTTAATTCTAAGAGCGGAATCTTTTTGTAATGTTTTCAGTAGAAAACATTCCAAACAAATCATATTATATTTCCGAACTATAATAATATAGATACTTATGTAGCATGTAGGTAACTATATAGTACTATACTATGTGACACTTCAGACTTTAGAGCATTCATTTTGCACTTTTGCCACCCAAATACATATTATAATGTACCTATGTCCTATATGTATATATATATAAATTATTGTTCATATAAAGCAGTTCTTCTCAAACTCTTTTTTATAATAACACCCTAATTTAGATCCATAAAAATGGTGACACACTTAAGTGAATTAATGGATTTTTGAAAAAATAACAGTTATAAGACTGTTTGTGAAATGTAAATTGAAATCGAGACTATCCACATAAATGTATTAATATGTTTATGATCTTCACAAAATTTTTTTTCTTATATGTGGTTTTTATCAACACGTCATAATGTCATAATAATGTCACATAGGTATATTTTATAGTTTGAAGTTTGAACACAAAATATAAATAAACAATTTTTTGGCAACATACATCATAGCGACTCACCAATTGAGAACCACTAATAAGGTAAGATGTATTCTATAATTTTAAGCAAGATCAAAATTCCCATTTTAAAGCACTTCAATTAATCTTAATAGCTTAATACCATGCATTAACCGACATTTTCCACTCTTTACTTGACAGTAATAGCCTAAATGGCTAAATAAATATAATCGTAAAATATTATTCGCTTTATTAATGGTTACCAATGCACAAAATCTATAAAATGTATAATATGAATTATAATATAGGTACAATCATTCTGAAAAATTTATAATTCCGGGTTAATAGTTAATTGGAATATTGATCTATTATCTAGATTAAGTACTTGATTTACATCTATAATTAGGTAGGTAACTATAATTACTAAGCTCAATGTTATATTTTAAAAAGATAATATTTGTTGAACTTTAAATACCTACACATTATTTTCAAGGCATACAATTATATTATACATTTATACTTTGTAGGTATAGGTACTGACTACTGATCTATTATACAATTCTGTATAATATATACCTATCTAGTATTTACCTACATAATAGTATAATACAGCTTAAACTGCATAAGCTTAAATGTAATAAACTACTTATAAAATAACGTAATATTTTTTTTAGTTGATAGTTGATGTTGATAGTTTTTATCTGTATGTGAAACTGTTCATACTTTCATGTTTGTCTGGTATTGTATCAAGATGACAAGATATGTCAAACCAGCAGCAAAAGTCTTTAAACAACAACAAAATAAAACATAAAAGTTAAATTACCTAGAATCTAGATTGTTTTTATAACTTTTATTAACGAAAAAAATAATTATTACATCTAACTAATAAAATAACATAGTTTACCTTTACGTGTGAATATTTAACTTACTGAAATAATGAGACGAATATTTAATGTAAATATATCGCATGCCGTGAACTCGACAGAACTATGAGAAAGTTGGTCCAAAAACAAATGAAGCTGCATAAAAAGTGATAAATGCATAATTTATAATAATTTTAAGGTTAAAGACATCGCTTTGACAATTTAATTATAGGACAGGTGGGGAATAATTGCAGGGGGGAGTCGGGGGACTACTGTCTTCATATAGTTTTAAGCGTTCCATGTATAATTGTATTTATATCTAATGTCTAATATACATTATATAATGTATAAACAGTGATTGTGTAAGCATACTCATCCCACATTTAAACCTGAATAATGTTAATCCTAATTTATTAAAGGGGACGCTTTTTAACCATTGACAGAAGTGGGTGGACTTAGTCCCCCCTCACATTAACCCCTGGCTACAGTGTGCAGATTGTCATAAACATTAGAAATTGTAAAAAAATCAATAATATGAATTTTGCAGCATAACTGTGTCTGCAATTTATTCTACATAATATATATTATTTTCAATAAGTATATACAGGTCAGTTGATACTTGGTCACCTATTGAACGATTACTTAAGCATTACTAAACACAATTCAAATTTCAAAGTAATATACACATCAATTAATAAATAACAACAAATATTGAAAAATATTAAATTAAATTCTATATTAGATATAGAATTAAAATTTGTCTATTCAGAGGACATCAGCGCCACCAGTGTGTCTTATCTCTTGTCTTCCAGATGTAAAAGATACAGCATGGCACATTTGCGTTCAGTAGCATCAATTTTGTGTTATTAGTATTAATATAACAATGAATCGACCTAGAATCAGACTTAAACGTAAGAACATAATCTGTTATCCACCGTTGGTTCTTAATTTTTAAGTGGGTTATGAATTATGATAATTTTATATTTATGATAGACGATAGTATATTTATTCATAAATCGTTTAAAAATTAAAACATCGTAAAAAACCAATGAGAGAACCAACAGTAAGTTAATGTTCTTACCTTTAAGTTTATTCATATAAGGTCAATTCGCTCACAACACATGTATCGAGGGTGTGGTGGGCGTCCTCTTAAAGCATGAAATATATACCTATGTACTCGTATTTATTTACCTCTTGATTTATACTACAATCCAAGCAATTACTTTTTAAGTTTGCTATAAGTGTCTTTGTATAAAGAGCCTGAAACATATAATTATTATTTAATATTACCTATTATGTAAATTTAATAGGTAGTAATTAAAAAGTAAAGCCTAAACCCTAAAGGTGCAATAGCCAGAAACATTGATACAGGAAGTGTGCAGATAATTAAAAACTATATTTATTATATATTATGTCATTTAAAATGTTAAGATTATTATGTCTCGCTTTCAAATTTAAATATCGTAAAAAAGCCAATGTAAGAACACCAGATTATGTTCGTAAAATTTAGTTTGACAATATAGGTCTATTCACTCCAATAATAAAGCTAACAAGTAACAAATAAGAACACAAGGCTGGTTCACTTGGTTCTGAATGTTCACCCAAATTTAGCTAATGTATGATTTTCATATTTATAAATTTTCTATTTTTAATGCTAAAATTAAAATAAACACTAACACATTTTATAATAACAAATATTTTTTCATTTTTAATTCACAATATAAAATATAGGTATTATGATATCATTTTTATAATTTACATAGAATATAAAATTAAAAACACAACAACACATATCTAACCACAACTATTTTAAGACAGTCCTAAGTCTGTATGAAGTGGGAAGGAATTTGTGTTCGGGAATTTACCTTTTTGTAAAACGGGAGCCGAATGAGCGGGGGTCTATCGATTCCTTCAATGTAGCATCGACTCCGCAACCAGTCACCACCCACCAATGTTTACCTCAAATGTCTACCTGTTGCTGTCAACCTATTTCTGTTATAATAATAGTAATATATCTACAGAATAATTCAAAAATGTATTTACTAATTTTTAAAAAACGAATGGCACATAATGCCCATTTATATTTACATGGTTTGTAAAAAGTTAATAAAAAACATAGAACATGAAGAAAATGTACCATCAACAAATATCGTATTGGACGAGCTTAGAGCCTTCAGATTACTATCTGTAGAAAAACACATATCATTGTTAACCAAATCTTTTTTTTTTTTTTTTATTTAAAGGAAAAGGCTTCAACAACTAAGGTTATTAGCCTGACATTAGATTATTACATGAAATTTTTCTTAAAATTAGTTTTTACATAATATATACATGTTTTATTGTTACAATTGTTTAATAATATTTGTAATGTTTAAAAAGGTTAGTATTTTGTCTGTTTGATTTTCGCCAAGTGCTTCTGCTATGGTGGGTGGCATGTTGAGATCGGTGCGGATTCGGGAGTATTGAGGGCACTCTTCCATTATATGCTTGATGGTTAATGCGATGTGACAGGGTTCACATATTGGTTGGGGTTCTTTACTGATTAGGTATGAGTGAGTGAGGAAAGAGTGTCCGATTCTGGTGCGGGTGATTGCAATGTCTTGGCGTCGGTTGAGATTTGGGGGGGTGTTCCATTTTTTTTATTGTTTTTTTAATATTTTTGAGTTTGTTAGACAGTGTTATTGAGTTCCAGTAGTTTTGCCAAGATGAGAGGATTTTCTGGTTTATAGAGTTTATGATGTCGATGCTGGATATGTTGTTTATTGTAGGGTTGAGGATGGTTTTCGTTGCCTGTTCGGCATGTTTGTCTGCTTTTTCGTTCCCTATAATTCCGGTGTGAGATGGGACCCACATGAATACAATGTTTTTTTTTGTTTGGACCAAGCATGCTTGGATGTTTGATGTTATTTCATTTCTTGATGATGTGTTTTTGAGTGCTAGTAGGGTGCTGAGGGAGTCACTGATTATGAGTATATCGTTAGTCTCTAGGGTATTTGCAAGTTTTACCCCTTCAAATATGGCGTAGTTTTCGGCAGAGAATATGCTGGTTATTTTCGGGAGTTTGTGTTGGATAGTTGTGTCATCCTGAACCACTGCAAAGCCTACCCCATGTTCGGATTTAGATGCATCTGTGTATATTTTGGTATGATTAGGGAATGAGTGCTGAATTATGTCTTGGAACTGAGACTTAATTATGACATGGTTTGTTTCGTTTTTACTAAAATTAAGGAGATCCGTGTTAAGTTTTAAGTTTTAGTTCCCATTTCCAGGGAGGAAAAGCTTGAAATGTAATTCTGTTTACGACTGCGGTGTGTACTTCCATTGATTGTTGTAGTTTTGTGTATACATCTCGTACCGAGGGGTTTTTTTTGTGTTCCGTGTTTATTGGAGATTTAGCATGGTTGTCGAAGATGGTCTTGTATCCTATATGATTGGTTGTGCTTTTCCTTTTGGTGATGCATGTTAGTGTGTCTTTGTCTCTTTGAAATTGGAGGGGTAATTCTCCAGCGTAGTTAAGGATACTGTCAGTCGGGCTTGTCCTAAAGGCTCCAATTGCCAAGCGGATTCCTTCGTTGTGGATTGGATCTAGTATCTTGAGGAGGTTGGGTTTGGCTGTATTGTATATTTGTGAGCCATATTTGATTTTTGATAATATTAAAGATTTGTATATATTTAGAAGTGGTTTTTTACTTGCTCCCCATGTGTGGTGGGACAGAGTTTTAATTACGTTCATTTTATTTTTGCAAGAGTTTTTAAGTTGTTTTAAATGAGATGTCCATTTGAGATTGTCATCAAAAATTATTCCAAGTATTTTCATGTTTTTGTGTTTAGCGATCGGTTGGTTGTTGAGGTATAGGTGTTTATTTATTTCAGGTTTATAATTAAAGACAATATATTGACATTTGGTAGCGGAAAATTTGAATCCAGTTTTGAGTGACCAGTTTTGAAGAATATGTAATGATGATTGTAAGATATTTAGTGTAGTTGCTATATTATTGCCACTACAATATATATAACAGTCGTCAGCGAAGATGATGTGTTTTGTGGGATTTGGTATTTTACAAAAAATGTCGTTTATAGCTATTAGAAACATTGTGACGCTTATGACTGATCCTTGTGGAATACCGTTTTCCGTTGTATATATGTTAGATATTTCATTGAGTGCTTTGATTTGTATTGTGCGGTTATTTAAAAAGTTTTTCAAAAAAAGGAACATTTTACCATTTATATTTGCCCTTTGGATTATTTTGAGAATTCTGTTGCGCCATGCCATGTCGTATGCTTTTTCAATGTCCAGGGCGATTAGGCAAAGATGCTGTTTATTGCATTTTGCATTTGTTATGTCGGTGTGTAATTTAAGAGAGTATCAATTGTTGAGTGGTTTTGGCGGAAACCGCATTGTTCTTCGGTGAAAAAATTGGATGTCTCCAAATGCCAAATGAGGCGTTTGTTTACCATTTTTTCCATAATTTTTCCAATTGTGTTTATGAGTGAGATTGGTCGGTAGTTAGCTATATCAAATTTGTTTTTGTTAGGTTTTGGGATGGGTATGACTATTGCATTTCGCCACTGGTCTGGGAATACGCCGTTGTTCCATATTATGTTGTATATTTTTAATAGTAGGATTTTGCCATTTGGTGGGAGGTTTTGGATAAATGAATAGGGTATGTTATCGGGCCCAGGGCTTTTGCTTTTGCAGTTTGACATGGCATTTAAGAGTTCATTTTCATTGAATGAGGTATTTATGTGGTTGTCTTGATGTTGGAAGTTGTTTTGAAGTTCGTTTGTGATGGAGTTTTCTATGTTGTGTTTATAATGTGAAAAGGCTGGGTCAAAATTTGAGTCACAACTATTTTTTGCGAATGATTGTGCGAATGCGTCGCTTATGGCTGAAGGAGATGAGAGTAGAGTATCATTATGTTTCAAAAAGGGAGGAAGGGGTTGGTGTGTTATTCCTTTAATTGCTTTAATTTTTTTCCATATTTCTGTAGAACAGGAGTTATATTTTATTGAATTGGTGTATTGTTGCCAGGATTCAGTTTTGTATTTTTTGGTAGTGTATCTAGATGCTGCTCGAGATTCTTTAAGTTTTATGTGATCAGAGGGTGATCTGGTTTTTTTAAATTTGTTGAGGCATTTTTTATATTTTCTTATTGCATCTTTGCATTTTTCGTTCCACCATGGTACTGTTTTTCTTTTTTGTATTGTGTTTGTTTTCCCAATAGTTTTGTTTGCGGCATCTAATATAATGTCTGAAAGCTGAGTTATTATGGAGTTAATTTCTGCTTGTGTCTGTTGGGTTTCAGTGTCTATTTTGATGGGATTTTCTAAGATATTTTGGTTTATAAAATCTTTGGTTTTTGGGTTTTTGAGATTCCAGTGTGTGTGTGGCAACGTTTTAGGTAACAGATCAAGAAAGGTTATAGATATTGGCCAGTGGTCGCTGCAGTTGTATTCGTTAAGTACTTGCCATTCTATTTGTGGTGCAAGTGAGCTGTTGGATATTGATAAGTCTATAGCGGAGAACGATTTGTTTGTTGAATCATGTCTGGTGTATTCTCCCGTGTTGAGTAGTATAAGTTGATCATTATCTAGAAATTTTTCCATTATTTTTCCTCTGGGGTCAGTGTGGTTTGATCCCCACATTGTATTTCGACTATTGAAGTCCCCTAAAAGTATAAAAGGTTTTGGCAGTTGTTGGATGATTTGGTTGAGATCGTTGAGTAGCAGATTAGTGCTGTCAGGCACATAAATATTACAGATGCATAAAGGGTTTCTGAGTTCAATAAGAACGGCAATTACTTCGAGGTGAGACTGAATTAGGATTTCTTTGCTCTTCATGAGATTCGTGATGAAGGTGGCGACACCCCCACTAGCACGGGAGGTATTTTGGCGATTTTTGAAGTACCCTTCATATCCACGTATGGGAAATTTTTGATCGGGTTTGAGGTTAGTTTCTTGGAAGCAAAAAGCTATTGGTTGGATATTATATTTTGCACGTTGAATATCAGTGAGATGTTTGTAAAGGCCGTTTATATTCCATTGTATTATTTGGTCCATATTTGTGTTGTGTATTGAGAGCGTGTTCTTGGGTATTAGAGTTGTGTTTGAGTGTCTTGTGGGGGGAGTATTTGGAATAGTAGGTTGGCGAATTTCGTTAGGCGAGATTTCATTGTTTTATCTTTTGTAATATTAGGTCGAATTTCTTCGATTAGACTAATTAAAGATATTATATCTATTCCGACTTGTTGACATAGTGAGTGGATGTTGATATGTTTATTGGTAGATTGTTCTAATATGTGTTTGAATTGAAGAAAATTTATTGAGGAGTTTAGGTTTTCTTCGAAGAAAAGTTCAATAGGTTTGAATGCTTCATCATTATTTTCGCCAGGTCTTGTAGATGAGTTTGAGCGTGATCGTATTTTCGGTTTTTTTTTAGTTTTGATTTTTTCAGGATTTAGGGGAGAGGGAGGAGCTTTTGTTTTTTGGGACGACGAGTCCGATATTTGTCTTTTAAGTTGTGTTGTGTGTGTGGTATTGGGTGGAAGAAGTTCTTGAGAGGAGTCCATGATTTGGATGTTATTATGTTGATGTTCATTGATTTGGGGTGTATAATTTAATTTTTCTGGCGTTGAGGTTTGTTCAAGATAAGTGTTTTGATTATCTTCTGTGTATAAGGTTGCACTGTCGTTAGTGTTTTGATTATCTTCTGTGTATAAGGTTGCACTGTCATTTGTGTTATCTATATTTGTTTTAGGATTGGTATTGAGTTCTAATTGTGAGGGAAGGTCCACTGTTTGGCTTGAGGGGGGGCTCTTGTTTTGTTCCGACGTATTTTTGCAGTGAGCTGATGTATGTCCGGTGCGTTTACATAGATAGCATGTGAGTGTGTCGTCTGTAAGGAAAATATGGTAGTCGGTATTTTCAAAATGAATTACTAATGATCCAGGTAGTTTTGATGTGTCCTCAAATTTGATGTGGGTTTGCCTTCTAAAACTTATGATGTGGGATAAGTCATCTGTAGAGAAGCCAGCTTTTAAAAATGTGATTGGCGTAAGTGTATTTATGCCGATTAGGTTTAATGCGTCGGTGATATATGTGTGTGGAATAATAGGCGATACGTTTGAAATAATAATGCGTTTCGCTTGATTTTCTAATCTATGAAGTTCAATGTTGTTGTTGTCGACAGTGATTGTCTGGCAGCGATTAATGATGTCATTAACTATATTGGAATTTGAGAAGTAGATACAGAACCGGTTGTTTGAAATTCGTGAGGCGAATTTAATGTTTGAAGGATTAGTAATCAGACTAATCGCTTTAATGTATTCGATCTGTGGAATGCCGTCAATTGTGTTGAAAATAATAGCTTGATTTTTTTTTGGAAAAGATAGGTTAGCTGTGGTTTCAGCAAATGTTTTTTGGGTACAATTTTCGTTTGTAAGGTTAGTGTTGTTGGTGGTTGAGGGCTGTTGGGTTGGTGTCATTTTTGAATTTTGATTGACTTGTTTACTGGTTTGAAGTGGGTTTAAAATAGATTTGTTTATGGATGTTTTCGACACTATGGTTGGTGTCGAGCGTCTTAAATAGGTATGTGTGGTTTTTGAAGGCGGTTTGTCGCCCATCGTTGTATTATTGCCTAATTTTATCGATATTAAGATATTGTAGCGTACTACGAAATATACATTACCGACAAGGATTGATGCGGCGGTTCAACTGTTATGTAACACTGTACTGCTATCGGGAGCTATAAATGCGGAACGCGATAAGTAAATACACGTGTGGCTTCTACGGTGTCCAAACACGTACTGTAACCAAATCTGTATGTATTAAATATTACCTACTCTCCTTCAACAGTTCTTAAATTCACAATTATTCATACCTTCAATCACTTCAACAAAATTTTTTGGAAGTGAAGGTATACGTTTTCTACGTTATCAATGTATATACATTGTTTAATATTGTCAACATAGTAATTTTCAATGATATTTTTAATTTGAGGATTTTTAACTATTTCACGATTTTTAATTTTGGAAGGACTTTCTGTGAAATCTCAAATCAGTAAATTTTCTTTAGGGGTTTGTTTGAAAATATATTTTTTTTAATACGTTAATCAGAAAATTGAACATGTTTTAAAATGTCCTTTAAAGATTCGTTAATATATATTTATTTCCATTGCACTTTTAGATTCTGAGTGGAACGATGAATGTATTGATTTTACAATGATGTGTTTTATATTTTTATTTTATTTTTGTGTCTGTGTACACGATAAGTAGTCGAAATAATGCTTCGATTATCAGCTTTAGTATCTTGTACGATTCGAAAGTGAATATCGTTGGTGCATTGGGGAGTTCAAAATTTAAAATTCCCAGTAATTTTCAAAAGCGCCAAGAAAAACAAAAGAAAATTAAGGCAAAACGGGAATTTTTACGCAAAATCGATATTTTACAAAATTGAATTTGGGTTTTCGTGTAACTTTAAAACAAATGACCGTAGATACGTGAAATTTTCACTGGTTGTTTATATTTGCATTTTCTATACACGATAACATTTTCAAAATATTTTGATTTATTTTGAACTGTTTAGGGACATTTTAATTTTCATTTTTTTTTTTTTTTGCATTATCAAAATTCTTTAAGTCTAAAGCGTTGTCTAAGAAAACAAAACTAAGGCTATACACGGCAATAATAAGGCCTACTCTCACTTATGGGTGTGAAGTATGGACAACAATAAGCGTGACGAAAAGAAGACTTAGAACCTTCGAAAACAAAATATGGAGAAAGATATGTGGACCTCTTCGCGACACAAGAACAAATTATTGGAGAAGAAAGTTTAATAAGGAATTACAGGAAGAACTGGGCCTAGCACCAGTCACTAGCTACATAAAGGGACAAAGATTACAGTGGTTTGGGCACATATAATGAGGAGAAGCGAAGAAGAAACCATAAGGGCAGGGATACAAAGGCAACCAGAAGGGAAGAGACCTCGAGGCAGACCAAGGAAGAGATGGCTTGACATAATAGAAGTCAGAAGAGGATCTTAAAACTGTGGGAGTAAAAGAATGGAAGGAAATTATACAAGATCGAGAAAAATGGAGGGACATAGTGTTGGCGGCAAAAACTCTAATAGAGTTATAAAAGTCAGTTATGATGATGGTTTTTTTTTTTTAGTTTTTAGTTTAACATTTGATCCCACACAACTAAAAAGCTGTTAATATTTTTGGGAGACTAAACCTTTAATAATATAGTTGTATATTAAATATTTATATTGTAATTCAGGTTCGTTCGAGGTACATACTATAAAAAAAAATAGCACTAATGTTCCAGACTGCTGTGGTTTTAAGATAAATATTGGCAATAACAATGATACATTGACTTCTGCAGACAAACTAGGTCTATTACAAAAGGAAGACATTATGTGTTTAAAATCATGGACTATTATAAAGGGAAAGACTTCTGCTTTATTTAAAATTAAAGGTAAATATACATAGCTGAACCACAATATAATCCTATACAAGCACTGTAGATTATATAGATAGAAATCTACCGTGTATACAAGTAAAATATAATTAGTCCATTGCCTATTTTATATTTATCCATTTATAAAAAATGGAAATGAATTCCAGAAAAATTTTCCTTTAACAAATGGCTCTTATATTTGTATAAAATACCTATATAGTAAATATAAATAGTATACATATACCTACCAATGTCGTAGCCAAGGGGCAGCACTGCGGACAAGCACCCCCTGTATATTTTTATGAACAATGATGTCATAAAATATAGGTAACAAGTGATAAGTGCATCCCTCAAAAAAAAAAATTAACGTTCTGGCGTTTTTACTCATGGGTTACATAATATTATGTACTGCAGTGTACCTATACCTACTGTATGTCCAGTAGTAGATTAATATATTATTTAGATATAATATACATAGGTATGCATTTATAATATAAAATCTGTTACAATAAGGTTACATAATCAAGCTCAAACACAATTATTTTGATTAATAGTCATTTATACTCATACTATGCTATCAGCTACTTAAATTTCTACATTTGTAAAGCGTCACGCCAAGCTGATCGGCCGTACATTGTTTAGCGATACTTTTAAAATTTGGCTGCAATCAATGTTAGTCTCCATATTGAAAAACTAAAATTACATACTTGGGCAGTACCAAACTCTAATGTTTGATAGGTTTTAAACTTGCCTCGTCATTGCCCATTGGGTCACTGAAATGACTAATGCATGTGTTAAATTAGAATGCAGTGATTCATTACTACGAAAAACGATTTTGAGCGGTAACGGTCAACGATGGAATCACGGAAAAAATGTTCCCACTACCCACATTAGGAAAAAGTCAATTAATTTAAAGTCTAAAATAACAAAAATAATAATAGGTATAACTAAATATATGGTTATTATAATACCTAATGCTATTAACAATATCATATTATTTACATCACACCTGTTTCTTAGGTTATGCACTTATGCTGACCAAATATAAGAAAGTGGGCAAGTGGAGTTGACTGTAATGGATGGTGTTACATTTGAATTCAATGATATATCATTGTATAAGAAAAACAATTCTGAGCGAAAACGATCAGTCAGCCTATGATATTACTAATAGTATATTTGGTGATATTATTGTGAATAAAGTAATTTATCGTATACATTTTAAAACTTTTTACATTTTTAACTAAAAATAATTATTAAATTTTAAATTTGACACATTTTGTCAAAATTCGAACTTTAAATGCTTGTAAAGAAAAATTGTGCCAATTTTTAAAGTTTTTCATCTGCTATTGTAACAATATATCAGAGGAGCCTTGCATTCAATTTTCACTCTTTATTACCCAACAAATACATTTTAATTAATTTTCATGTATCTACAGTTATTCGTTTTTGAGTAACAACAAAATAACAAAATCGTTCATGAGAAATCGAGTAAATATCCAATATTGTAAAAATATGAACTTAATAAAATTGCTGTGTCTTGGAGATGTCCGTGTTGTAAATCGTATATGACAGCGCTATCTAACTAGGAAATTAAGCAGCTGCGAGGGCCAGTTCTTCAAGTGTTAAAAATTATTCGTCGGCATTAGATAGCGCTGCCGTTATCGAAATTATTTAAATCTAAATAATAATACCAGTCAATGCCTATAGCAGCGTTAAGTTAGATTAAACCTCACTAAACCTCACTAAACCTAACTAAACCTCACTAAACCTAACTAAACCTAACAAAACCCAACTAGACTTTCGAGTTTCGGCACTAGTGTACTACCGACGAACAACGCATATAATTCAGAACCCCCTTTTCCAGAGCCGTGTCAAGCAATTCAGCGCCCCGGGGCAATTCGAGCCCTTTCCCTACAATTTGGGCTCCAAGTAGCATATTAAGCTCAAATAACGACGCCCCTTACTTTTACAAAACTATGGCGCCCGGGGGCAATTGCCCCCTTTGCCCCACCCCCTTAACACGGCTCTGCCCTTTTCTCTTCTACAATATTTCCATAAGTGTTTTTGGAACGAAGTTCCTTATGGGGCGTTAGGTGGATGGGAGTCGCTGGAAAAAAATCGCCACCGAAAAGCGTAACACCGAAAAGCGTAACACTGAAAAACGCAACATTTAGAGTGGGGGGCTGTGCCTGCCTGCTCGGCTGCCGGCAACACTGCGGTTCCATTCGCGTAGGCTACCCAACATCGGTCGTCACGCGCGTAGACGTCAGGCGGAGTGGGGGGACCCATTAAACGAGTAATTATTTTTGACGAAGCATAACTTAGCCGGTATTCGACTTAGAGACCCCGGACCAATGGGCATCTCAATTTTTTAGGCCCCAGATGAATTTTCAACATTAGGGAACCAAAGCCCCCACCCCCCCACATTTTGAGTTGAGTGTAACTCGGCCGGAATTCAAGTTAAAGACCTCGGATCAAGGGGGAACCCATTCTTATTATGAAGACTACAGTTTTCCGCTTTAGGGAACGGGGGCACCTCCTCCCCCCCTTTTGAATTTTGATTTTTTGATGGATTTTGGTCCGGGAGAGTACTAACACCCACCTCGCCAAGGGGAAACTCGGGGTTTTGAGTTTTTGATGGGATTTATTGGGATTTTCATAAATATTGTTTTTATTGATAAGGAAAGTGATAAGAATTTAATTTTCAAAATAATTTTTGCCCCTTAAATTTATAAATTTATAAATTCCATTGTGATTTCCATTTACCTTCTTCTCTATATACATACAAATATATTAAACAAATGAAATTAAAATTTACTTTTGAAAAACGATAATCGAGTACAAGCTGTATCAACCGTATCATTATTAAAATTTCTTTCAGTAGAATTTGACTTAACCATCAATAATAATCCGTCGGAATCTACAACAAGATACAATACCACTATCGATGCAGTTTTTTCGAGATATATATTGAAAAAATTCAATCACAAACATACGTGACATATTTCAGCTACCACAAACCAATAGTTACTGTTATTGAGAATACTGATTAATTTCATAATTATTGCTTTGTACTTTTATAATGATTATAAAATAAAATACCATTTTTTCACAATACTCAGAAAAAATTTATTATAATTTTATTACCATGCGCGCGATATATTTATACAAGCATTCATTTCTCTCTCTGTCTCTCTCTCTCTCTATCTCTATTTATTTATATTTTTCTAACTATATATGTTTCCGCGTCTCGCATCACATGCACTGAACTTCGTTCCTGCCGAGTGTTCAACAACACTCACTGTTATTTTATTCTTATAATTCTTTTATATATTTTGAGCTGTCTACGGACATTTTCAGTTTCCAATGTTTTAAGTTTTTTATTCTATAAATATCAATAAAATGTTATTTGTTGGTTACAAAAGCTTGAAAATTTAATAGAAGGCTCCTAGTATATTGTTTCAAAGGCAGATGAAAAATATTAAAAATCCTTAGTCACAATATTTTTTTATAAGCATTTAAAGTTCAAAAATTGACAAAATATGGAAAAATCACGAAAATAAGCAAATTATTTTGAGTTGAGAATTCGTAAAAATTTTTCTTTTTAAATCTAAGATTTGAAAATGTAATACAAGATTACTCATAAGTTTGTCTACCTTTATCAATAAAAAAATCTCTATCGGAAAGTCAAATTAAATTTTTATGAGCGTTTGAAATTCAAATTTTTACAACATTGGATATTCACTCGATTCCTCATGTAGCGAATTCCTTATTTTGTTGTAATTCAAAAACGAATAACTGTAGATACATGAAAATTTCACTGAATGTTCGTATTAGCATTTCCTATACACTGTACAATTTTGAAAATATTTTGACTCTTTTTGAGCTGTTTACGGACATTTTCAGTTTTCAATTTTTTTAGTTTTTTTTTTCTATAAATATCAATAAAGTTTTATCTGTTGGGCCAAAAAGTGTAAAACAAGGCTCCTGATATATTGTTACAATAGCAATTGAAAAATATAGAAAATACATAGGCACAATTTTTTTTTATAAGCATTTAAAGATCGAATTTAGACAAAATTTATCAAAATCTCGAAAATTATCAATCATTGTAATTAATTAATTATAAAATGTTCAGTTTTTATATAGCTAAGGATTGAAAATGTAAAACAAAGGTTCTCATAAATAGTTCATACTGTAACCAAAAAATCCAAAAAATATATTAACACAGTTATTTTTTACAGACATTTTAAATTCAAATTTGGACGAAATTACATATTAAAAAACCTAGAATAACTATTTTAGTTTTTTTGTTGTGATTGAATAATATTATTCGTGGGTAGGTACTTGAAACTTCTAAAGTGTATTATTATATATCTATGATAGTATCACGGTTTTTCTTGATGTATAACGCGTTATAAGTACCTAATGGATATTGTGATATGATTAATTTGGAATTTATTATAGGTACCTATTATAGGTCAATTTTTTGTTTTATACAATAGATATGTATATATAATATGTCTTATACCTAGACTGACATACTGTCTCCGCTCAGAATCGTTTTTCTTATACAATGATAATAATATATCGTTGAATTCAAATTTAATATCATCCATTATATACAGTGACCCACTTGGCACTTGTAACCTACTGTACAGCAGAGCGACACCCACTTGCCCACCTTTTTATTAACACATTTCCACTTCTACGTGCATAAAAACTTGAAAAATTTGTTTTAAAAAATGTATCATTTTGATAAATACTAAAATACCTAACTAAGTTATTTTCTCGTTCACCTGCTACAATAATTTAGAAATTCATTATTTCGAAGTATACTCACACGATTATAAGTCGAGACTACCTAGATAAGTGTAGGACGATATGATTATAGTCACTATAGCCTAATAGGTATACCTAATCGTATCATAGAGTATTACTCTATGAATCGTATACACCTTAGGTTATCATTAATTAACGATAACTTTTTAATACAGGTACTTCACATATATCTATATAATATTATTTTATAATTTAGCTATGTAAGTAAAATAAAACTATGATTTTTGTTCGGGAAGATTATTTTTCCCTGGCTTAATCTATATAAGTTTTTTTTAGACTACCTACCCTGGCGGAACCGATATACCTTATCCCCTAGTTTAAAGAGGTCTGACAGAATCGATGAAACCCCGAATGGGCTACATCCCTATGTTGGTATACCTAAATTCCCCCCCTCCACTGCACATATTATCTTAATAATAAACCTAATAAACTACACTACGTTTTATACGAATAAAAAATGTGAATTATGTGAATAACCTGCTTTGTGGTGTAATGTGACATCAGGACGATTCCCACGTATCTCACTACGTAGTGCAGCATCCAGGAGTATATGATGAGGTCAGACATGATGTATACACCCATCACGTGAAACGTCTCGTAATATATGTCAAAAAATGACATCACGCACAGCGCGCACACCGACATGCCCAGCTGCACACCGAACAGGCGGTTCAGACAGCTAATAGCTTCACGCAGCAGCCAGTGTCTGATTCGCAGCGTCTCGACTGTGACGGTCGCTGCCACAACGCTGTCCAACGGATCCTGCACCTCACGGACCGCGACCGCTGCAGCTGCGCCGTCCGCAGCACCGGGTGGCGTGACTGCAACTGCAGTGCCAGGCGCATCGGGTGTTGCTCCAGCGGTCGTTCGGAAGTGTCTCGAAAAACGTGCCAACCCTGCGGGCCCGCCCAGCACGGCGACGTCGTCATTGACAGTCTTCAGCTTATCATACAACATGAAACACTGTTCAGCGAATTGCGTCTCCGAACAGCACATGGTCAAGTTCTGGACGTAGATGAACGTGTAATGGACGATCGCCAGAATAGGATCAACGCTGTCCGTCCACAGAATCCATAACCGCATTCCGTTGACCGGTATGACCAGCAACAGGCAAGCACACACAGCCGCGGCCGTGAACACCTTGTACCGGCTGGCCTCGGCCACCGTCGTCGGCGAGTACGTTTCGTAGCACTCCATCGTCTCCGTGTACTTGTCGAATCCCACCATAACCGAGTACGATAGAGCGATCCTCGACAGCATCGACGTTACGTTCGCTATGCCCGGATAGACCTGTTTCAGGATCCTGATCGACTCGCTGGTGCACTTTTCGCCGATCCGGCACACGACCACCGGCCCCGCGAACAGCGCGTACAAGCTCGACGCCAACAGCAGCATGGTGGACAGTATCGGCAGTGACGTGTTACTGTTCCGGCGACCACCCTGCACGCTTGCCGGGAACACACCGAACGCCTTCCAAAACAACGTGATCGGCCAATAAACCGACATTTTATTATTATTTATTACCATTTATTGTTGCGACGGACGATGTTTGAGAGATCTATAATAAACAGCTTCGAAATAGATGTTTGTGTATTCATACCCTTATTATACCTTCAGGTTATAATATAATATGTAAGTATGTAACGATATATAGCAAATGCCAATAATATAAAATTATATAACCTCATTACCTCAAGTATACTTACGCTATGACTTATGAGTGATGCTACGTTTGTTCAGAAGTGTCCAGTTTGATTGAGACTTCGTCACATTTAATTTTGTTTCGTTTCACTTCTCTTATGTATGTAGGCGGTATGTATGATGTATATTGTATGTAGGTATGTGTGTAATGTGTATGTATGATATAGTAATTAGTATAACACCTATATCTATTCTGACCCTTAATAGTTAATACCCATAGTATAAGTACTAAAAACGGAAAATGAATACTTTATTAAGTTAAGAAAACATCAAATAGGTACATCTATACTCGACTTGACGTTTGATACACACTTTTTAGTTTTTAATCGATCACTTTATGTTGTATTATATTTTTATAATAATTTTAACGATATAGGTACATCGTATTGTTGAGTAACATATCAACTTGACAATTTGTTGATTTATTATGTATAATCATTTTCATATGATATTATAATGAGCATTGTTCATTGTACAGTTTGTACCTACTATGTGTAATGTGCACATAATGCTTAATGCTATGTTGGTTAATCGATTTTAAATTAATCGTATAGATTTGAAAAACAAAATATTTTATATAGGTATTAATCGGGTGTAAAAGTTGTCTTAAAAAATATTATTATTGTAATAGGTACTTTAAATAAAATGTACATATACGATATACTATTAAATATAACATATTATTGCTATATGAAATAAGGTACTTCAGAAATCACGATATAGGTAGATCCAAATGCAAAGGATATTTATCAATTTTTGTACAATTAGGACAAGATATTGTTTATTTTAGCGATACAATTGGTTTAAAATGTTTTCAACAAAATATAGCTTAAAAACTGAATATTTACTGATATAATCAAACACCATACGTAGGTTACCGTTAAAATAATTAAATGCCTAGGTACTGTAATTTTTTTTATGTATCATTATTAATATTTTAACTAAAAATCATTTATTATAATAAAATTAATAAATATTTTTATATTCAAATTAGAACTAGGTAATTAATAAAACTAAATTTACCAATGAATAAGGCCTAAGAGTGGCCAGGCTCAAGATTTATATAATTCTTAAGTGCCTACCTAATTTACTATTTTTATGAATGGAATTGTACTAATATTACCAAGTAGGTTGTACCAGCAGCTATAGCCTATAAACAATAATAAAAAAAACAATGATTACATAGTCATTAACTATTCGTTTTTATTATTTTTAGGTGATATAATATAATATTATATACAATTGGACGATAGGAATAAAAATAATAATGCGCGATACCTATATCTTTATATTTCTAAAGATATTACCAATGTATTTTTCTAGAAAACGAGTTACCATCTCTCACTCTTACTCGTTAAACAATATTCCTTTCCAGTATTAAACTATTAACTATCATGTATGCCTTCATTTCTCCAGAAGTCAAGCACCCTTCCTTGTTCCATCTCATTCCACTTCCTATGGAGGAATTCAATCAAAAGAATGTTTTGGAGTTTGCAAGGCTGGGCAAGTTAACTATTTTTTTTAACTCGTTAAGTTAAGTAAATTAAGAAAAATGTGAGTAAAGTTAAAATTTAACTTTATTTTTTTTTAACTTGTATAATTTACAAGGTAATTAGAAAATAAAAGTAACTTAACTTAGTTAAAAATAAGTTCATTTTTTTTTTAAAATAAAATTAATAATTATACCTAGGTACCTATATTTTTTAAATATAATAGGTAATAATAGTAATAATGATAATAATGGTATAGGTATATTAGTAAATTGTTATATTTTTCTTTTATTAATGACGGGGTTACACCTATACCATTTCCGTCTATAATATAGTTGATATGCCATATAATAACTTACTATTATTATAAATTATTATTTACTAAAATATATTTAATATTTCGATTTTTTTTTTATATAACTAATTTTACAAAATTGAATTTATTTTAAATATGTGGTTTAGGAAAAAAATAACTTAACGTGGCAATAAAATTAATTAACTCGTTAAGTTACTGAATAGCATGGGGAAAAATGTAACTCGTTAAGTTAGAAGTTATACTTCTAAAAAAAAGTAATTCGTTAATTAACTTAGTTAAAAGTAACTTAACTTTAACTTATTAACTCGTTAATGCCCAGCCTTCAGAGTTTGGACCTTTAATAATGTCTCTATAACTTAATGTTAGTTTTTTCTCTTCGTGTACCTACCTATTTTATCAATGTTATAAATTATAAATTGTACCACACTGTATATATATAGTAGGTACTTTAAATTTACGTCTACAGCCTTATTAATATGTTAAAAATAAAATAAAATAATAAGAATATAATGTATTTATGTGATATGTCATATTTGAATATAAATATCACACTAAATTACATGATAGAAGAAGCCACCTAGTGGCTGGTGACAATATTTTTGAACCTTTTTTTTTATTTTATTTATGTCTTTTAGAATATATCCCATATCCATTACTTGTGACTTGTGAGTGTGGAAAAGTTCGATAATAGTGGGTTGGAATGGAAAAGGAATCTGAAGTGTGGAATCTTGAAGTATTTTAAATATTTTGTTTTCACATTGAATGCGATATAGTGGGTAAACTGCAAGTTGGGTAGTTGTACAACGAATTATAACAACAGTAGCAATATTAAAACGTAAAAATATATTTAAAATAGTTTATTTAGCTACCGACGGAGTTTGGTAATTTTTAGAAAATTGTGATCAAAGATCTGCAGTGATGACTGGTGAAATTTGAAAATGTACCTGCTATCAACATATCACATTAACACCACATTTAATAGAGAACAACGAACCATAGTGTAGTATGGGAAGACAATTTTTTAATTGATTTTATTTGATCAATATTGAAAAAAATATTACAAATTATTAATTAAGTACCTATACCTATTAGGTAAATGTATTATTAAATGAAAAAGTCGTCTGCTCGGGCCAAAATATTGTAATTATTATTACCAAACTTTTTTACTGCAGTGCATCTATTAATTTTTTTTAGCAGTAGGTAAATTGTTATTATTTTTCACTAATGTTTAGTTAAGTATTTCCTAATCACCTAGATATTGTAGTAACTTTATTTATAATATATTTACACTTACCGATTTTATTATCTGTGTATTCAAAGTGAAAAAATCGTACGCGGTAAATTCGATAGATTGATGGCGTATTTGATTCACAAACAACAACAACTAAAATCATGTAAATCAGTGAAAAACACTATGTACCTATGTATAATATTATATTAAAGATGAGATTTTATTATAGATTATAATGTTGTATTAGAATTACAATATATAGCCATATTTTACCTCTTCTTTTGTACTATTATCCAACATTTGATTATTTGTATCTAAAATGATTGATTTTGATTGTATTGCCTAAAATAAGTGTAAACATAGTATTATGTATATTATTTTCCTATAATATTTTCTTAGTTGTTCAGTAAAAATGTGAAATAAGTATACGATGACGCACAAAATGGGGTAGGTACTAGTTATCACATGCATGCGTAGGGGAGTGTAAACAGCTGCATATTCAAAACGCAATTTCATCCTTCCGGAAAAGCAAAGATCAAAACAAATATTATAACTGTTTGTAAGTAACGTAGCAAATTTTACGCTCAGAAAAACACGTTTATCTCCCGTTAGCTTAAAAATTAAAGCGAATTGACTTCTTATAAAATTTAAAGGCAAGATTATTATCTAGACAATGACATAGGCTTTTTATTATAATTTAATTTTAAAGCGAGTAATGTGTATTTTAACATTGTAAACTGTTTCTTCAAATATCTAAATCTTAAAATACTCATACCTCGCTTTAAAATTTAAATATAATAAAAAGCCTATGTCATTGTCTTGATAATAATCTTACCTTTAAATTTTATAAGAGGTCAATTCGCTCTAATTTTTAAACTAACGGGAGATAAACGTGTTTTGCTGAGAAATTTGCTATGTTGCGCACTTGTAAGAAGGAGACAACAAATGTCACTGTAACGTCGTCCCCTTAAGCACAAAATAGAGGATAAAATAATATGTGTGATTAATTGAGGGTTACTTAGCATGGCTGTGTGTCATTTTTAAATTAAATCATTGATTATAATTTACAAATATAGAAGGTACCTAATATTTAATTTATAATCAATGATAAAACATTTTTCTATATTTTTCTATTTAATCTCAAACGCTTAAAAATATAACCGTCAGCTAGGGCCTATAGGCTTATAGTGTCGTTGAATATTTTAATATTAGGTATCTTACAACTTATATACCTACACACTGTCAGCCTGGCTATGGCCGCGAGACACGAACTCGCCCTGAGCCCCCGTCCGTATTTATGTAGAGGGGCCTGGGGCTCTATAGTACTATGAATATTGGATATTGAATATTATTACATATAAATATATAATACCATTATAATTTATAGTACATTTAGTAACTACTATTATAATTTTATCAAAAATCACTGATATAAAGAAAATCAATTACACAATTTGAATCGCATTAAAAAATATTAAGTTGTATAATATTACAAGCTGTATTATTTATATATTTTTTTAGAATTATAAATAATTACTATAACTATGTAGTTAACTTGTAGTTAACTTCAATGTGTATTTTAAATAAGATACCTACTTTTAAAAAAGTATAATATTTTGTACTACAGTAGAACTTCCATATAACGGCCACCGAAGGGACCTTAATTAATAACCGCTATTTAGAGGTGCCCGTCCTACAGAGGTAGGATAACACTAGGATAACACTCGACGGGACCAAAAAAATTGACCGTTACATAGAAGTGACCGTCTTATAGAGGTGACCGTTAATGGAAGTTTTACTGTATTTATAAGCACTTTTTTATCATTTTATGAAATAACATTTTTGTGGGCTCTCCCGAATAAATGCATCTGGGGCCCTTTAAATACCAGGCCAATGGTGGATACTTGTCTGTCTTTTTAACGTTATTTTTATTATAGTTTATAATTTTTGCTAAGCAAAAAGACAATTTAATTTTTGAAAATTTGCCACCCGTCCCTTATCGGGTGACTATTCTGGATCCGCTATAGGTACTGTAGTTATATATATTTTATACTTATTATTTATTACCTACCTACTTAATTGTAATAGTTATTATTAGTTAGGTATTATCTATACCTGTTTCGTTGTGTAGTGTGCTACTAAGATAATCATGAACAATCTCAGAGTGTATTGAAACAGCCAACCGTAGACCAATAATTTCGACGGAGAGTTGTGAAATATCTCATAATATATATCAAACAAGGCCATTACCCATAACAAGAACACCGACAGTCCCATCTGAATACCCAGTAGGTTGTTGAGGATGTCCACGGCTTGGCGGGTCAGCCAGTGCTTAATTCTGAGTATTTCAACAGCGTTGGCCATCGGGTTGCTAATAAGCCGAGGCCGATAAAAGTCTTTGTCGTATCTGACACACTGGAACGATTTTTTGTAATCTTTCCACATTGTTGCCGAAGAGCCCATTATGAAAGGATACTTAACGTAGTTGACGTTTTCGTTTCGTAGTTTTTTCAAATCATCGTTGATTCCTCGGAATCTGGTGTAGATTATGAAACACTGGGTGACAAATTGCGTTTCTATGCAACACATGCTCAGGTTTTGAATGTATATGAACAGATAGTAAATGAATAACGATATTTCGTGGGACTCATTTTGATACAGATAATACAACCGGCTTATGTTTATCGGTAAAATTATACTCAGGCACACGAAGACGACGGCGAACGAAAATATCTTGTAGTTCTTATGTTGCGCAGATGACGTCGGCGAATACATTTCAAAAGCCTTTATAGTTTCCTTGTACTTAAGTAAACTCTGTTTTGATTGAACCATTATGGCAATCCTCGATAGGAGAGTGGTGGTCGCCAACACTCTAGTGTACATTCCAATCATGGCCGTCGAGAAAACGTTACACCACTGGTCTAATTTGCATAAAGTATTCGAAGCGGTAATAAAATTGTAAACGCACGTGACAATTAAGAGTACTGAATACACATTTTGGAATTTGTTGTAAGTCAGATCCGTGTTGAACACACCACACAGTTTCCAAAACGATTGGACAAGCCACATTTCAGAAAATTATTGGGTATATTGAAGCAGATAGGTTTATTAGGTAGGTAGATACCTAAATACAATTATTAACATAAATATCTATTAATACTAATCAGAGACTCTGATTCAGAGCACCACGAAAACGGATAACAACCATTAGGTATTACTACCTAGTAGATATAGTAGGTACATGATAATAATAATAATATAATATGCACCATTGCACCATAATATATATTATTACAAATTACAATCTACAGGTATTCAATAACTGTTTACAACAAAGCTTTGGTAGAAGGGTAGGACCATGACGCGTACACTGTACAACCTAAGTCTAACCTTGTCGATAAAAAATGAAGGTACACTATTTTCGCTGTTTGTTTATACTTATGTCTTATACCTAGTACCTACTTATTATATATATTTTGTAACGTTCTGTAAACAGTGTAAACAAAAGTTCTAGACCCTTAACTTACGAATACTTAAACGTACTTACATTATTAATTTTTTTTTGGAATTGAAGTGGACAGTGGTCGATACGATTGAGTGGTCTTATAGCATGACCAGTGTTCTTATAACCCTTAAGAATCTTAAGAACAAAACACAAAAACACTGGTTATAATATATGCGAGTATGCGACATAGTTTTTACTTTAAATATATACAACTGGGCAGAGGCGTTCTCAGGATATTTCAATGGAGGGGGATGAAAAAAATGGTTTCAAAATAAGCCGTACCTAAGGGTTTTGCCTCACAACTCCCATATTATAATAATGAATACCTATTAAAAAAGCGGGTAAGTGGATGTCGCTCTGCTGTACAGTAGATTACAATAGTTGGTAACTGTATAATGGATTGTATTAAATTTGAATTCAATGATATCATATCATTGTATACGAAAAACGATTCTGAGCGGAGCATAGGCGTGCGCAGCCTCCGGTTTCAGGGGCAGCAATAAGAGATTTTCAAATTGAAAATGTCTCATCAAATTCACCATTAAAACCTGCCCATAGTTTTACTTTTTTTACTATTGGATATAAAAATTAAAATTGTATTGGTTATTTGTTTTTTTGGATAAAAGGTTGTACAGTAAGGTACTAAGCCACTAAAGGTGTACTTTTCTACAAGCATATATATAAAATATTTATCTATAGTTTATCAAAACAAAAAAAATCCTTTGTGGAAATATAATTTTACCAAGGCCCATTATTTAATATTTGCCGGCCCTGGTGGCCCCAAAGTAAGTCCAGGGGCAGCATATGCTGCCTCTGCTGCCCCCGTGCGCACGCCTATGTCGCTCACGGTTTGTCAGTCTGGATATTTTATATTGTAATTATATTTTATTATAGCCTGTAAGTTGAATTAATATTATAAATTACGATAAAATAACTAAAATCATTATTTTTATTTTATTTGTTACAATGGTGATAAACAAAGTGTTAGAAATTGAAATCACATTTTTAGCGGTTTTTGAAATTTGTCGGTGACATTGTAATGTGTCATTAAATAAATATTGAGAAAATTGAAAAATTACCTCTCTAAAGTACCATCTTGATAAAATTTGCTAAAAGAAAAGATATACTATATGTTAAAAGAGAAGAACACTGCTTCTGGTAGAAATTTTGTATGCAGGATAAAATAAAAATAAATATAAACAATATTGAAAAACCAATAGATCCCTCACTCCGCTCAGAATCTAATAATATTGATAGTAATATAGTTGATAATATCAAATAATCCATTCAAGTCATATTTATTGTTCTTTTTTTTTGAACTATAAAAGAATGTTATGAATCAGTTTAAATCAGGAATGGAAAATGTTTTTAATTTTTTCGTTTTTGTTTAACGTTTTTAAAAACGTTATTTTTCTATATTGTTTTTGATAATATTGTTTTTTTTTTTATAGTAGTAAATTTAGCAATTTAGAAATGCACTTAAGAGTTAAAAATTAAAATTAATTATTCTTGATTTCAAATAAAAATGTTTTTAAATTTTAATAGAGCATTGTTGGTAAAGATTAAAAAGTAAATACTTAAGTAACATTTTTTTTTCGTGTTATTAATATAATAATGTATAATACTATAATTTATTTGCGTTTTCGTTTTTGATTTCGTAATTAATTTTTTTTCTGTTTTTGGGATTTTTTGTTATTGTTTTTGTTTTTGTTTTATTCATTGTTTTCGTTTTTTTTTTCCGTTTACTATAGTTTTTTAAAAACGTTTTCCATCCTTGGTTTAAATTATTTATTTTATTTTATCACTGTGGTGTTATCATTGTGTATCTTACCTTTACATTTTTTCTGACGCTGGGAATTTATGAAGTTGACGGAGTGATTGTTTACAAAAATACAGTACAAATCAATTGTAAAGCGAATTGCCTGTTACATGTTATAATTATCAGTGATAAATAATAATATTGTTTATGGCTGGTGGAATCAGTAATCACGATAAAGAAAAATTTCAAAAAAAAAAAAAAAATAATAACTACCAAGTCAATATTGAAAACACAAACACATATCAAAAGTAGACAAAACGTGTATTACTAATATGTAAAAAAATAAAGAACCTTGGGGGGGATCTATCCCCCATATCCCCCCCCCGTGAGAACGCCCATGCAACTAGGTACGAATAACCAGCATTGCGCGGGGATAAATGAAACCGAGATGGGAAGCCACATGTGGCAGACAGTAATTGAGTAATACCTAAATACCTAATAACAAATAACAATAAGTAACCTTTTATATTATATAAGTAACCCATCGAGATCTGACCATGCCATAACTTTTGCTATAGGTATACAAAATTAAAATTTTTTTTTACTTATATAATTTATAGCCACTCGCTACACGCATAATATACAAAATATTATTTTTATTTTTCAATACTGAAAATAAAAAAATTTATAATTTGATTTAAAAGTTTTTATATAAATTTAAAATAGCCAATTTGTGAATCTGATTATAAGAACAATTTTGATGGTAAAAACATTTATATAAGTTAAGTAGTTTATTTTTTTCAATATTTTTATTAAATTATGTTGGAAAGAAATAACTTTTTTAAAAATATTATTTTGGGAATTTGCTGACATGAGTATATTTCTTAAATTATTTGCTTATCACATAATATTAACAATTTTTGTCATAGGTACATTTAAGTAGGAGTTTTTTTTTTGTCTGTTCTCGGTGGGACATCCTGTATATATATTATATATGTTTATGGGATGGGTAAAATGTTTTTTTCCAATCAATTTTCGTAAATAACGCTTTTTTATTTGTTAATAGTTTTTTCTGCTTAAAATTTTGGATATTTTAGTTTGAAGTCTTTAGTTTGTTCATACTGTATAATTTTTTCAACATTTTATTTTTATTTTCTAAAATGCATTTGCCTGTGGGGACCCAAGCCTTCCCCCTTTACATTTTTTTTTTATAAATTTAACTCTAGTTAATTTTTTTTGTATAGACATTTGAACATTGATAACCTGGTGCCCTATGGATAATCCTTCTTTAATGAACTAATTATTGTGAATAGTTTTATCTGTTTCCAAATCTGTAGATTGTAGTTTGCTTTCTTTAGTGTATTTTCCCTCTTAATAATTTTTTTCCAATTTTCTTTTGTCTTCTAAAATGCATTTTGCCTGTGGGTTTGGAGTCAATTGGACGAGTTGGTGGGGCTAACTTCACTATCGTTAATAAATTACATTATGTTATACAAGAACAAAATGTATAAGTATTATTTCCTGGGAACTTTAATAATATTGTATTATTATTTAATATAAAAATCTTTGGAATCGTAAAGAAATCTTAGATTTTTAATTTTGCTCAAATATCTTAGCCCCTAGTTTTTGTCATACATTCTACATTAATAACTTATTTTAATAACGTGGGAAATAAAACGTAACTCCATAGAAATTACTTTTAAAAAGTAATTTCATTACAATTGCGTTAATTTAAATAAAATATAATTAAATTACTACAGCATTATTTTAAATTAAATATAATTAAATTACTACAGCATTACTGCAAAAGTAATTTTGTTACGGTAATTTGTGATTTGCATTACGTTACTACCCAACACTGTATATATTTAATCAATGCTATAACTATTAATTTTCTTTCAAATCATCTGCCGGCTGCAGAACATCAAGACAATCAAAAAAAATTGAGAGGACTACCACTGAAAACTATACATAATAAATAAATAAATAAATAAAATAAATAATATATTACATTATATCATGTAAATGCACAATTAATTTTTGAAATAACAATTATAAATATATGAAAATATGAAAATAGAAAGGTATTACATACAAATTTAAAAAAAATTCTATAAACCCAAATTTTGCCTAATTTTGTTAATTAATTTTCTTTCAAATCATCTGCCGGCTGCAGAACATCAAGACAATCAAAAAAAATTGAGAGGACTACCACTGAAAACTATACATAATAAATAAATAAATAAAATAAATAATATATTACATTATATCATGTAAATGCACAGTTAATTTTTGAAATAACAATTATAAATATATGAAAATATGAAAATAGAAAGGTATTACATACAAATTTAAAAAAAATTCTATAAACCCAAATTTTGCCTAATGTTGTTAATGTAAGAATACTGTTGCATATCTTTTGCTGCTTGCTGAGCACCATAATATATCTGACAGTTTAAAGAGTTGCACTTCAGTTCAAAGTTCCTTCCACAGCATGATCGACAGATCTATTTAAACATAGTATAAGGTATTGTTTGAATAGTTTTTTTTTTAAATATTTAATTATTTGATTTTTACCGTTTCTAAATCATCTTGTTTTTTAGTCCATTTTGATAATAAATGATTAAGCTGTACAATTAAATACTGAGGATTTTGTTGACATTGTTCACAGAAACCATGCTGTGATAATTTATTACATAAAATACAATTTTGTGAAAAAAAATATTGAGATAATGTTTGTTTACGATTTGTTGTTGTAGTAATATCCGGAAAATGAAAGTTATATTTACGGGGTAATTCTGAATA